GAGTCCATGCCCACGTAAAGGAGAAAATGAATAGTCTGTTCTCTTTGTATTGCTGACATGGCTGACTACTGTGGAAAAATGTTAAGCCTGCGACTGGATGTCTTTCCTTCCTCCCTCTGCCAGACTGGACCTTTCTCTCAGCAAAGTGATCGTTATATGTACTTATAGAATAAATATTTATTCCGTATTTGTGGAAGGTGATAGAATAATGGCATGACCTCCATCACTTTGGGCATTGGTGTGGTGGGCATTCTCTCAACTACTGCCCACAATGCTTACTCAAATTCAATCATTCATTTGATTTTTTAAAAATCTGAGCTTGTGATTTCATAGACATGAGGAAACTCATGTGGTATGGGAGGCCCCATCCACAGGTATAGACTGACAACTCATCCACAAAGAAGCTAGATGGCACAGTGGATAGAGTTCTGGACCTGGAGTCAGGAAGAACTGAGTTCAAATTCTGACTCACACACTTACTGGCTGTGTCACCCTGGGCAAGTCAGTTAACTTCTCTCTGCCTCAGTTTCCTCATTTGTGAGATATGAGTAATAATAACATCTACCTCCCAGGATTCTTGTAAAGACAAAATAAGATAAAATCTGCTATGTGTTTGCAAATCTTAAATTGCTATAAAAGAGCTAGTTACACTTACTATTTTGCTCAGGATCACAGAGTCAATATTCTTCAAAGGTAGAATTTGAATCCAGGTTTTGCTTATTTCAAGGCTGGCTCTTTATCCCCTATGCCAGGCTGTCTCTTTTTCATTTATTCATATACCCATTCATTTTGCCATTAATGCAATCACTCATTTGCTTATGCAGGAATTCATTCACTCATTCATTCAGTTACTCATTCTCTTAATTGTTGTCACTATTTATTTATTGAATACCTACTGTGTGTGAAGTACTTTTCAGGTGTTATGCATGCCTCTTGGCTTCTCTTCTCTCTTCTCAATTTTTCTCCTATTTCTTTCTTTTCCCCTAGCTTCTCCTAGGTGGCGCAGAGGATAGAGTGTTGGGCCTGAAATCAGGAAGACTCATCTTCCTAAGTTCAAATCCAGCCTCAGGCACTTACTAGCTGTGTGACCCTAGGCAAGTCAGTTAACCCTCTTTGCCTCAATTTTCTCATCTATAAAATGAGCTGGAGAAGGAAAGACAAACCACTCTAGTGTCTTTGCCAAGAAAACCCCAAATGTGGTCACAAAGAGTTGGACATGACTGAAATGACTAAACAACAATAATATATATGTGTGTATGTGTGTGTGTGGTGTGTGTGTGTGTGTATCATATTTATCGTGGTGTCATAGATTTAGGGCTGGAAGAGACCTCAGAGGCACTTGAATCCAACCTCTACATTTACAAAGAAACTGAATCACAGAAGTGTCAGCACCAGTATTCTGACTCAGGTCTTCCTAACTCCAAATCCAACCCTCTAACCACTCCACCATCTAGCAGCCTTATTTGCTTGAATGTGTAACTTGTTTATCTCAGGGAATGTAAGCTCCTTGAGGGGCAAGGATAAATTTGGCTTTGTCTTTTTATCCCTAGTACTTTGCACAGTGCGTAGTACACAGTAAATATTTAATAAATGGGGGTTTGGGGGGCAAGGTAAAAAAAATAATGTAATCACTTGTAAATATCCCTACATCTCCCATTGTAGGGCATAGTTTCCTACCGTTGGCCAACTGCCAATATAGAGGGAGGCCTCAGCCGGAGTAAGGGTGGGACTTACCTTATCTCAGTGATGGGTCTACCTCCCATGTTTCAGTGGATCTATTGGTCAGGTCTCTAGTAGAGTGCCCCAGTGATCTGTCTTTGACCCAGTGCAGTTTAACTTTTTTTTCAATGGTTTAATTGAAGGCATAGATTACATGTTTATCAAATTTGCAGGTGATATAAAGTTAGGAGAAATGGCTAACATGTTATGTACGTATACATATACAACATTATCATAAATACGTTATTATGGGATGCAAAGATATTTCAATATTAGGAAAACAATCAATCTAATTAATCATATAAAAACCAAAACATCAAAAGACACACGATTCTCTAAATAGATGCAGAAAAAGCCTTTAACAAAGTAGAAAACTATTTTATTTCATAAACCCTATGAAATAGGGACCTTTTAAAACTATCACTTAAAAAAAACCCAACTGAAGCCCAAAAGAGAGCATTACGTGAAAAAGGATACACTAGAATCTTTTCCAATAAATACAGGAATTAAACAAGGTCATCCTCTCTCCTCTTTATTATTTGACATAGTTTTGGAAATGCTAGCAACTTCAATAAGAAAAAGAAATTAAAGGCATAAAGATTGGTAAAGTGGAGATAAAAACTATCCCCATTTGCTGATACTATAGTTTGCCTGGAAAATCCTATGGAATCATCAAAAATTGTAATTGAGATAATTATTAGCTTTGGCAAAGTTTTTGTTGTTATTTAGTTGTTTTGATTGTGTCCAATTCTTTATGACCCTATTTGGGGTTTTCTGGGCATAGATACTGGACTGGTTTGCCATTTCCTTCTCCAGGTCATTTTACAGATGAGGAACTGAGGCAAACAAGGTTTAGTGATTTGTCCAGGGTCACACAACTAGTAAGTATCTGAGGCCAGATCTGAACTCAGGAAGATGAGTCTTCCTGACTCCAGGCCTGGCACTCTATCTACTTGGCCATCTAGCTGCCCTCAGCAAAATTGCAGACTACAAAATAACTGAAAAATTGACATCATTTGTATATAGTTTCTATACAATAACAAAACGCAAGAAACAAAAACAGAAAGGGAAATCCCATTCTTAATGACTAAAAATGCATAAAATATTTGGGGCTCAACTTACCAAAGCAAACAAAAAACTTCTATAGATTCAATTACGATATGCTCTTTAAAGAAATAAAGACCTCAGGGCAGCTAGGTGGCACAGCGGATAGAGCTCTGGCTTTGGAGTCAGGAGGACCTGAGTTCAAATGTGACCTCAGACATTTGACACTTATTAGCTGTGTGACCTTGGGCAAGTCACTTAACCCCGACTGCCTCACCAAAAAAATAAACTACTTAAATAGCTAGAAGAATATTCAGTCCTCATGGCTAGGCCATGCCAATATAATTAAAATGACAACATTATCAAAACTAGCTTACACCTTAAATGTTATATCAATCAAATTACCAAGGGGACTTCCCTTATCTAGACAGCATCTCTTCTGACCTCCTGAGCCAAACAGGGTTAAGTCATCATCCAGGGTCACACAACTAGTAAGTGTTTGAGGCTGGATTTGAACTCAGGAAGATGAGATAAATCAAACACTATTGATGTATACTGAGTTTCCAATTATCTTGAAGCTCCCAAGGTCTTTTTTGATATGAACTGTTTTTACACAATCATGCTTATATTTATACAGTTGGCTCAAGTGGAGAAATTTACATCTAATTTTGGATAAATTTTTTGTCATCATCCACCACACTCATCCTAACGCAATGTCTCAAAGAATCGTAGATTTCGAGCTGGCCAGGATCTCGGTTGGACATCTTGTCCAACCCACTCATTTTATAGATGATGAAGCTGAGGTCCAGAAAGGTTAGGTTAGTTTCCTTGCCCAGGGACACACAGCTAGTAAGTATCAGAGCTAGGATTTGGACTCCAAGGCCTCTGACTAAAATATCAGTGCTCTATCCACTATGTACACTGCCTTTCATCATAATGTGGTAGTAACCTTGGGTTTTCTAGGACCTTACCAGAATTTGCCCAAGGCCACACAACGAATCGGTAGCAAAGTCCAAATTCGAATCCAGATCCTCTGAAGTCAAATCCAGTATTTTTGCAGTAACACAAGATTGCCTTCAGTGTGTCAAAGCCAAAATTTGGACAAAGTCTTCTGCCTTGAATTCCTGTATTCTTTTTTTTTTGGTTTGAATAGGTTACCATAGCTCCTAAATATGGATCATATACTCCTCCCTCAGTAAGATTTGTCCCAGTGATAAAACAATGCTTTCCCATTACTATGTTTTTTGGGGATAGGGATAGACATCACCATTGAAAGCACAGCATTTACCCACATTATTTTGTCATTAATAGGTCTTTTCAAATATATGCCAGATTTTATGTAATATGGATAAGTCCTAGACCTGCGATTTCTTTGGTATTGGGAACTGCCAGGTAAGGAAACTCCCTATCCTTGCATTTGGTACCTTCTTTGCAACTTACAGTCTGTAAGACTATAAGAGCTGCTCAGAGCACCAAGGGCTTACGTGACTTGCCTAAGGTCACACATCCAAATTTATCACAAGTAGGGCTTGAACCCAGGTCCTTCTGACCTCAAGGCTAACATTCTGTCCACCATACCACTCTGTCTATAGATCAATGCATGCAAGCTCCTTGAGGCCAACAGCACTGTCACTTTTATCTTTGTCTGCTCAGTGCCTAACTCCTAAAGTAGAGTGAGTGTTTAATAAATGCTAATTGATTCATTATTTGAACTCTTTCCCAAATCTTAAGAGTCTGTGATTCTAGGTGTGGAAAAGAACATTGAGGTTTTTTTTTTCCATAAGGTGTAAGAATTGGGAAGAATTTGGTCTAGTTAAGTAAGCCCCATGCTGAGCTTGTAAAGTGCCTCAGATTGTTTTTTAGTGTTTGGATTTTGACAAATTCACAAACACACTGGCTGAGCACTCTGACTCCTTAGACCCTAAACTTTACAGCTGGGGGTTGGGATGGGGGAGCCCAAAGATCACATTAATCCTGTGGTTTGAAGTTTTTTCCCTCTCTATTTATTGAAAAGGTGTTTGGTAGGAATTATGTAGCAGCTAGGCAGTTTGTTAAGCCCTTCCTCCTTAGACACAAGAAGCTTTTTTTTCTGCACTGTAGATTTGCATATTTCCTTCCTTTCCTGGGCAACACATATCTAATCCGACACATCTAAGGTTTTAATACAGCTAAAAAAAACTAATTAAAGAGAAGATGCAGGGAAGAAAATATTGAAAGATGAAATAATTTAGTCTCAATTAAGTGTGATTGTTTTTTTAATTAAGTAGAGAATTAAAATCAAGTTTAAAATTACATTAAAGGTAGTTCATAAAATTAAACAGAGAGATCAGATCCAGGGTAGGACAGACTGATGTGTGCGTGTGTTTCTGGTGAAAACAACTGGGAGTTATCATTTGTTTCCTCTCCAAAGCCAATGCTTTCCTCCCTTTAAAATGTTGCTGTTGCTTTTTTTAAACAGCATCTGTAGAGTCTGAATTAGAAGTGTGGACTCTTACTTCAAACCTCTGAAGAGTTAGCAGTTGCTAACACCAATGATTCCTTCCCTACGGTCTTTCGGAACCAGACAGGCTTTATGGGGACATCCTAAAACAAGCTGGCCAAATACAATGGAGCTCTGGGCTCCTGAAGAGCTAAAAGTTCTGAAGGTAAACCTCTCTCACCAAGCACATTCAAATTCAGCAAACGTGATACAGTACACCATGCTGGGGCTGAAGGAGAGACAGAGAGAGCTCGTGCCTATATTGTACTTTTTGCTTTTCAAAGTGCCTTTTCTTACAATAATCCTATTAAGTTGGTAGTCCAAACATCCCTACCCAAATTTTGCAAATGGGGAGACTGAAGCTCAGAAAGGTGAAGTGTCCCATCTCATCCAATGTCCTAAAACTGGTAAGGATCAGAGTCAAAACAGAAACCAATATCTCCTGCTCCCACTACCCCACACTGCCTCTCAATAAGATACAGTGGCTGCTCTCATGAAGCTTTATAGTCTAGTAACTAAGTGTGAACTATAATGTGATAAATACACAAAAGGAATATTAAAATGCCAAGTAATTGTCACATAAAGATCAGCTGAAGGATTTGGTAATATAACATTTAGCTTAGAGAAAAGGAGGATGGGGAAGGAAGCTGTGGAAATGATAACTGTCTTCAGGAATTTAAAGGATTATTGGAGAGGAAGGATTGGTCTGCTTGGCCCCACAGGGCAGAGCTAGTAGCCATGGAGGGAAATTGTAGAGAGACAGTCAGGTTCAATATAAAAAAATTTCCTAAAAGTTACAGGTGTCCAAAAGAAAGGGTTGAGGCGGAGGGGAATGAGGCATTCCTCCTTCCTAAAGATCTTCAATTGGAGCTTGGTTGACCACATAACTGGCATGCAGTAGAGGGGACTATTGTTCAGGTGTTGGTTGCAGTAATGTACCTTCTGAGATCCCATCCAGCTCTGAGACTCTGTCTGAGAAAAGAAAGAGAAATAGCCATGTAATGGACAGGGTACAAACTCAAAGGATTTCTAAGCCACTCATGACATTTGAATGGGTCTGGTCCTTTGCTATCTAGCCCATCTCATCTGTCAAATGTTTCTCGCATTGTTTCCCAACAGTTAGCCTCTGCATCAGCTAGGCCAACATGATCACCGTCCCCTGCACATACCCTGTAATGCCTCATCTTTGTCTTTGCTCCACATTTATGCCCTCCTCCCCATTAGATTCAAAGACTCAACTCAGCCTTCATGATTCAAGTTTCACCCTCTCTAGGAGGCCTTCATAAATACTCTAGTCTTGAATCATCTTCCTATCCTTTGAACTTCCTGAGAATTCCCAGTCACAGGTACACGGCACGTTTGCTTAGCAATACAAGGTACAAGCAAGACTCAGGATGTTTTCATACACACTGGCTCATTAGATCATCACAGTGAACCTCTGAGGTAAGGCCAGGAAGATATTATTTTCCCCACTTGTCAGATGAGTAAACTGAGATTCAGAGAGGTTAAGTGATTTGTAAAGGTTACCCAGCTCATTAGTGGTAGGGCTGGGACTGGAAGCCAGGTCTCAACTCCTAACTCAGTGTTGTCTTCCATAAACTGTGCTGGGCTCTCAATCTCAGGTGTGCTGAATTCATTGACTTCCATTTCAATGAGCAAAGCAAAATCAAAAGAAAATAGTTTCCTAGGAAAGAAAGATTTAGCACAGATGCACATGTGTGTAAATAGGAATAATTCAACAGCATCCCATTTTCCCATAATGCTTTAATGCAGTTCTGTGAAGCAGGTAGAGGAAGTATCATCTCCTCCCTTTTAGAGATGAGGGAAATGAGACCCAGAGGTTAAGTAATTTGCCAAAGGTAACATGTTTGTAGTATAATTAGGATTTGAACTTAGGCCCCCTGATTTCCAGTCCTGGATGTTACAACCACGTGGTGATTCAAAAGAGTAATATATTCAGGGCTGTCCTGGAGCTAGATCATGTCAGGTCCCTAGAGCCAATTGTTAAATTTTCAATGTGAACATTTGCATCTCAGAATTCAACAAATGCTACAGACGAAGACTGGATCTATTGTTTTGTTGATTGTTTAGACTTAACAAAGTGACAGAGAAAATATTAATAATGCAGATAAAGCTTAGAAGTGAGTTATGCGTACTCCGCTCCCCCAAGTCAGTTGTTAAACAATGACCAGCACACCACTGACTACTTTCCTTCGTGTCTCTGGTTTAAACTGCACAGAGTCATGGAATATCAAGCTAGTGCATTACAGACTATAAGCTCCTTGGAGACAAGGAACCTTTGTGTGTATCTGTAACAGTAGGCAGTTTATTGAATTGAATTGAATTTGTTCATTTTCATTTTAAGAACTGCCTGACCTATAACCATGTCACTACCAAGGCATGACAGAGAAGTTTCTGAGATTTGGATCCTGAAGCCATTAAAAGGCCCATGTTTTGGCGCCATGTATGGGTGGGAGAATAAAGAAGTCAGAAGAATTCAAATGACAGAAGCCTAGTTCCACTTTACATGGGCCAGATGCAGTGTTCAGGAGTCCAGCCATTTAATTACTCACACCTACCCAACAATCCAATTTGCATTTCATACCAAGCCAGTGCTAGGAGTCCAGAGCCTCTGAAGGCCAGGGTGGCTCATCCTTATTTTCATCTCCATGCACAGAAGTCCTAATTATGTCTGCATTCCTGTCAGAGGGTTACAGTAAACATGGCTGTCAGTTTTCATTACCCACATTTTGAACAAAGAGAGCAAAGCGAATAACAGGCTTTTTTCCCCTCTCTTATTAACCTCTCTTCTTCCCACCATCCCTTGGGTGGGATAAGATGATAGTTTAGACTTATCTTCTTTTAAATGGCCCATGAGTCTATAGGGAGAGAGGAAATAATGCAAGTAACTGAAGACCTGGCCTGGGGATGAGTGAGGGGCTCATTGTGTAGGACAGAACAAGGATCAATGTGGGCAATGTTACAGGAAAGTAGATTTTGCCCCAGTGTAAAGAAGAGCCTCCCAACTGAGCTTTCCAACAATAGGAATGGGCAGCCTGGGGATGGGGGAGGGGTCATGGAATGAGCTCCCTTTTATGGGAGGTTTCTTAGGAAAGACTGGATGAATCCTTCTTGGATGTGGTATAGAGGGGATTTCTGCTCTTGTAAGGATTGAACTATGTGTCCTCTAAGTTCTTTCCATATTTGAGATTCTATTATTTTATGAAGAAAGGCAGTGTGATAAAGTGAAAAGTGTGCTAGATTTGAAGTCAAAAGACCTGGGTTCGAATTCTGGCTCCACCATTTAATAGCTGTGTGACCATTCTGGCTCTCTTCATCTGCACAATGAGGGGATTAGAGGAGATGTCCTCTGAGATCAAAATCTATGATCCTATGATTCCCTCTGAAGATCATCAGTAGTTTCTGATGAAGTTGACTGACGGTCCCTTTCCATGGGGAAACTGTTGTTAATCATTTTTGAGTTGCTGCCTTTAGATTAACCTTGAGATGAGAACACGCCTGAATGGACAGACAGCAAGATGTTTCTTCTCAAGACCAAGACAGCCTATGGACATATGATCTCCTAATAGCCAGTAGGGGTGGCACCATTGGCTGCAACTATCTTCTTTCACTGGGGGAAGTAACGGATGAAAGCCGAATAGATAAAACTGCCTTCAAATGGGCAGGGGGAAGAGAGACTAAGCTCTTTGTTCTATAATCATCCTTGTTACTTCTGTTGCCATAGTGACTCTGAGGGGAAAAAATAGGAAATATCACAGTCAGTTATGATAACTAATCATGGCCAAATTCAATTCTGACTTCATCAATAAGAGAGGCTCCCCCTCCCCAGTACTCCTGCTGATTAATGACAGGTAGATGATGACTGAGGAAAGGCACTTTTCAGATCAGAAGGAGAAGTTCCAATTTGTAGCAAGTGGTATCAGGCGACAACATTTTACTTAAGGGCAAGATAAATAGGCCAGTGTCCCTGAAACCCCCAACAAATCCCTTTTCAAAATGTTATCCCTCAGCCCTCTCCACAGACAACTTGAGCTAAACAATCCAGGTATTACAACGAAGTATAACCAAGCCATTAGCAAACCCTCACTTGAGTGTCTACTGTGGTCCAGCCAAGAACTTGACACTTTGGGGAAGAAAGGAAGAGGACACACATGATCCTGTTTGCCAGGAGCTCGAAGTCCGGTTGGGGAGCCCAGACTCTTGGATTATAGGACATAGATTGCTCTTGAGCTGGAAGAGACTTCAAAGGCCATTGAAGACAGCCTCTCTTCTTCTTTCTCTCTTCCTCCCTCCCCCACCCATTTTATTTTTTCACACTTTAAAAAAAATATTTATTTATTTTTAGTTCTTAACATTCACTTTTATAAGATTTTGAGTTCTATATTATCCCTCCTCCCCAAGACAGCAAGTAATCTGATATAGGCTATACATGTACAATCATATTAAATGAATTTCCACATTAGTCATGTTGTGAAAGAAGAATCAGAACAAAAGGGGAAAACCTCAAGAAAGAAAAAGAAAAAATAGTATGCTTTGATCTGCATTCAAACTCCATAGTTCTTTCTCTGGATATGGATAGCATTCTCTATCACGAGTCTTTTGGAATTGTCTTAGACTCCCCCTGCCCCCTTTTTAAAAATGAGAATATTGAGGCCCAGGGATGTTCACTGACTTGCCCATGGTCACAGAGACAGAAAACGGTGGGCAGGGATGAGATTTAAACCAAGGTCCTCTTCAATCCAGGGCTCTTACCACTGCATCCCATGGCCTCTTGGGCTGGAAGAGAGCTTAGAAGTCATTTAGTCCCACTTCCTTCTTTTATAAATGAGGAAACTGAGGTCCAGAGAAGGAAAGTCATTTGCCCTAGGTCACATTGCTAGTGAGTAATAGAACCAAATGAGAACCCAGGCCCTGACCCCCAGTCCCTAAAACTGTCCACTGAAGAAGAATAAATGGTTTACGTAAATACATCACTTTAGCACATGATATATCTGATTTCTTTTGACCCTCACAACCTTATGAGGTAGGCAGTATTGTGATTATCTTCATATTGCAGATGAGGAAACTGAGACTCAGAAGGATTGGAGTGACTTGTCCAAGGGCTGCCACTTTGCTCTTAAAATGGCCAAACTGGAAGTTGAAACCAGATCTGCTGATTTTAAGTTGGGGAGCTCTTTCCACTACAACAGACAGACTCAATACCCCCTAACCTTGAAAGTAGCCCTTAGAGCAAAATCCAATTAGCCTTTAGCACAGTGTGAAGAAGCAACTCGAGCAGTCCCTTTCATGCCCCCTTATCACACCCTCCAGACCTTTTTGGTACCACCATTCAGGACCTAGTTCTCTTCCAGACATATTAATCAGAACTTGGGGGTTAATGGAAATAATTTATGCATTATGCTTTATGCGTTGCCCCTCCTGGGTTGAATTCAGATTCCTTACCCCCAAGCCCTGATATTTCTGGGCTTCTCTGGTTTGAAGGAGCTTTTTTGTTGGTTTTGTTTAGATATCCTCCTAGCCTCCTCCCCAGCTCCCTGGGGAGCACTTTGAGTGCATCTCTTCACCAGCAGATACTGAACACAGAGCCTACAGCCATCAATATTCCATAGGAGAACAATTCAGTTAAGAGAACTTGTTCTGCTGGTAATGCTAGAATCAAAACAGTCAAATGCAGAGACAGAAGGGCTCTCAATTCAATTTCAGATGTGAATTCTGAGCAACACGTTAAACAAATCATTTCCGATGGCTTTGAGTTGTTCTTGTTTAAGGCAGATTAAAAACAAAATTTTCAGTACGTGACATACCAGGCCAAAATGTTCTTGCCATGGAAGCAGGGTCTTTGACTAGCTTTGTACAATTAATTGACTCTTTTTAATTAACCCCTTTTCTGCTCAGGTGAACAGGAGCACAGCTGCCTTTTTTATTGTCTAGATGGTTTTCAAAGGAAAGGA